TGGTGCCAAAAGAATTGAGAGCAGTCTTCAGAGTGTCCTTATAGCGCTTTTTCTGTCCTCCCTGGGACCTCTTCCCTTACTGGAGCTCGCCATAGAATACTCTATTTGGGAGGCGGCTTAGGTGACCAGCCCAGCGCAGCGGATAATTCTTCAGTATCGTGTGGATGCTAGGCAGGTTTTTCCTATCAAGAACCACAGTATTTGCGATTTTTTTTTAGTCATTTGATTTTCAGCAGCTTTCTGAGACAGGTTATATGAAAATGATTACAATTTTTAGCATATCGCTGATACACAACTACGTTTCACAAGCGTAAAGCAGTACTGGAAGAATTGCAGCTATGTAAACTTTCAGCTTAGTCAGCAAGGAGATACCACTTCTGTTCCAGACACTGGTATAAAGTCTGCCGAAACTGCTGCTGGGTCTTTGCAATTCTAACACTGATGTCATCGTCGATGTTGACTCTCTGAGATAAGGTACTGCCAAGATAAGTAAATCTGTCGATAATATTTAGTTTTTGACCATTTACGGTGATTGGGGGATAACAGCAATTTTTTCCACGAGCCGCTTGATAGATAACAACAGTTTTATCAGTGTTGATAGCTAGCCTGAAGTTAGTTCAGGCTTCAGAAAATCTGTTGATGATGTGCTGCATACTGCCCTCAGAACTGGAGTTTAGAACGGAGTCGTAAGCAAATAAAAGGTCTCTACTTATAGTGTTTCAAGCACTGCAGCAAATGTCATACCAAACAAGGTTGGTGCAAGCACACATCCCTGCTTTACGCCATTTGAGACAGGGAAAGGATCCGACAGTTTTCCCTTCTCCGGCATTCTGGCCTGAATACCTTTATTGAATTGTTGAACAATCCCGATAAACATCCGAGGACAGCCAAATTTAGCCATGATTTTCCACAGTCCCCCTCTACTGACTGCCTCAAAGGCCTTTGTGAGGTCTATGAAGGTAGAACAGAGGTCGCAGTTTTGTTCTGGACACTTTTCCTGGAGCTGGCGAGCAGCAACAATCATGTCAATGGTCCCCCGCTATTTTCATTAGTCACACTGGCTCTCCAGCAGGAGGTCTTGATCGAGATGCATCGTAAGACGGTTGAGGAGAATTCTAGCCAGGATTTTACCAGAAGAGAGATTCCACTGTGATTGTCACATACCTGGCGGTTTCCTTTACGTTTATACAATTGTATGAATGTTGCATCTGTGAAGTCTTGTGAAAGTATTGATTGCTGTCATATAAGTTGGAATATTTTGTGTAATTTCTCATTTAGGATATTACCACCTTCTTTGAAAAGTTCTGCGGGTATGGCATCAAGCCCACGAGCTTTACCACAAGACACCTGGTTAATGGCTTTCATGGTCTTCAGAAGAGTAGGAGTTTTGTCTAGTGCTGCATCCGTAGGGACCTTGTGCAGACTGTGTATAGCTTCTTCGTTTATGGATGACTGTAGGTTCAGGATGTTACTGAAGTGTTCAGCCCAGCATTTGAGAATTAAATCGTTATCAGTGAGTAGTGTAGTTCCATCTTTGCTGAGAAGGGGGACTGGATGATAGTGGCCTCGGTCCGTATACAGGTTTTTAAGCATCATAGACATTTTTAACATCATGCTGGTCTGCAAAACGTTAAATCTCATCAGCTTTATTGCTCAGCATCAAGTCTAGCATATGTCAAAGTTTGGTCTGAATAGTTCTTCTAATATTATTGAAGGAGTCTTTCTTTGATACTGAATTTGGGTCCCTTAACAAAGCTTTAAAGAGGCGGTGTTTCTCCATTAGAAAATGCTGAATATCAGCTCAGAGTAACAAAAAATATTCAGCACTTTATTTTTAATTCACTCCAAACAAAGGAGACCCAGGGGTTTCCGGGAAAGTCCAATATTCACGGGTTGAGGTTAGGATTAGGGTCTTTGTCAGCCCCACCAGCCTGAAAGACACCAACTATCCTAAATTCTAACCCCTGAACCAGAACGCTAACACTAATCCCAACAAACTGTCGTGTGCGATCAAGTTTTTCCACAATTAATCAAGTAACAGAAAGTGTATTGATCGGCACTTATAGAAAGAAGTATTTCCACAATTTGCGATCCGCAACTGTGTCTATCAGTTCATGTGTTGACTCCCCCTTTATGCCATGACAAAAGGCTGTTAGGAATCTTCTCGCGCTTCCTCTGCCTCTCTTTCTAGGGTAGGAGCCTATCCTACTACTCGGCGCGTTCACCGTGTGGCGGATGATAGACTGGCCTCTAAATATCGAGGCTAGCCACAAATATATTAAATAGGCGACTGTGGACCAAAACACGTGGTCACTAAAAGGAGGCAAGCTATCTGGTAGGACAGTTAGATCTATAAATTACCTCAAAAATCCATGACATCGCTATCGGCGGGTAAGTGGAAGCACCATTTAAACCTCTCCTCCCCTGCTGCCATGCAGTGTGTCTCTTTAAAAAAAGGCTAGTGGAGTCACGGCGGAAGTCAAGGGAAAACCACTGCTGTATTTTCCCTAGTAAATTATGCCTTCAAACAACACTTAACCCGCCTAGAATATTGGACTTTCCCGGGAGCTGCAGGATTTTCTTTGGTTCAGTGAATTAAAAATAAAGTACCAAATATTCTTTCCACACCAGTGGCCTATAGGGTATAGTGTGCTCTACCTATGCTTCTATAGACTAATCAGCACTGGGCGAAGGTTTCCTGGTTATCCCCTTTAAGCTGAATTCACGTCGGAGACATAGATTCCAAAGTCGGGTCTTTCGACAAGCGGGCAGGCGTCCAGCGAGTGGGCTACCGTTCGTCGATCGTTACCTATTTGAGCTATTTGTACCACCACTACTAATACTGTAACTACCACCATCGATGCTACCACCACCACTACTATTATAAACTACTACTACCACTACTTACTGCAACTACTACTGCTACTTCTTCATCATCTTCTTCTTCTTCTTCTTCTTCTTCTTCTTCTTCTTTTTATTCTTCTTCTTCTTCTTCTTCTTCTTCTTCTTCTTCTTCTTCTTCTTCTTCTTCTTCTTCTTCTTCTTCTTCTTCTTCTTCTTCTTCTTCTTCTTCTTCTTCTTCTTCTTCTTCTTCTTCTCCTCCTCCTCCTCCCCCTCTTTCTCCTTATCCTCCCTCTTTCTTCTTTGCCTCCTCCTTCTTTGCGTCTATTATCAAGCGGCTCACACCACTGCAAAAGCGCGCCATTCGCTTAATTAGTAACATTCATGGGACAGTGAGCTCCGAAACATATAAAGGTCTTAGGCTACTACCGCTTCGTGAACGTCTACTTTTCAATAAGGCGAAATTTACTTACAAAATATTATCTCAAAAGGCTCCATGTTACTTATGGCCGTTGTTTAAATATAATAAAAGGCACAGTAAGCGCCTAAACATATTACACATCACTAACCTAGGATAGACCACTACAAAACAAGTTTGGCATTTTCCGTATTTGTGGAACTATCTACAACAGCAAATCAAAAGTACCACTAGTCCATATACATACAATTGGAAACTGTTCGAATATTATCTGAGCACCGATTATATGCCCCCACAGAAAATAAAACATATGTGAAAAAGAGTGCTCATTTTCCTTAGATTTGTTACAACTACTACGTTTTACTGTAGTTAGAAATGTGCACATTCCAGTGCTTGTGTTGATTATTTTGATGCTATTGCTAACTTTTAATATTACTTGATGTGTGAATGAAATGATGTAAGAACGGAGGGAGACCTTGAAGGGCAGAATGTTAGACGGGCCTGCCGTGCCCAATTCTTTACCCTTTAAAAATAAAGTTTGTTTGTTCGTTCGTTCGTTGGTTTGCCGGCTGTAAACTGTGGCAGAAAGGGAAAGTTCTGAACTTTGGTTGTGTTCCAGAGTTTGAGTTTAGAATGCACATCTATTTTAGTTTTTACAGAAGTGGTTCATTTGTATGCAGACTGTTGGTTCCTCGCGTTACAGGCAGATGCACGTTTTCGAAATAGACAGCAGACACCCCTAGTTAGTCGCGTTTTACGATACGTTTTTTATGGAGGAGGAAGAAGAAACAGAACAAGATGGAAGAGGAAGAGGAGGAGGAGACTCTTATTAACCGTTGCCATCATCAACAAACTCTGGGGGAGGGGAGGGGGGGGGGGGGGTCGAATAAAGCTTTCCATTATGCGCATAAACTCTGAATGCAGCATGTGTTTATGTATGCACACAGTTTTTTTATGTTTATATGTCACTGTTTACGTTGACAGTAACAGCAGTTTCATACCAGTTTTTAAAACTGTATGGTAACACTGAACGAGAGCACGATAGTCTGCATGCTCGCCTTGCAGCAAGCAGTGGTCTCAAAACTGGTAGGTGTCGTCCCCTTGAGCGTGGGTGTCTTACTATATATATACATATATATATATATATATATATAGTAAGACACCCACGCTCCACCCTCCTCTTTCCAACATAATAAACTGATTAAAAAAAAGACACTGAAAAATCACAACTTCAAGACACAAAAGAAACAATCACCAACAATTACTAATTTACTGTCCACATCTAAATGTGATGGTTGACACTATTTTGCCTTGATGATATCTGCTAGTTTTGGTCTGATGTTCGACTTGGCACAATGGATATCAATATCCACTCCAAGCTATTCACTCTGATTTGTTTTCATACCTACTAACGGTGAAAATCCTGAATATTGATGAACGAATGCACGAAGTTTTAAACTTGTTTGACGCCCCCCCCCCTCTTTGGAAACTTCCTCAGAGCGCCCTCACCCCCAACATTTGTGAAGACCACTGTCCTGCAAACACACATAAAACACAAGTTTGTTTCGCTAAGTTTTCTCAACCTATCAGCGTGTTTTAGAAGTACAGCTACCAAACAATTATCAAATTACTATGTCAGACAAAGGAATGTGAAAACGCCTGGAACATACCCAAGAGTTTTATTTATAGCTAATTTTTAATAGCAATTTTAAATTAATCGACATTTGCAGTGCCAGCCGCCATGACGACGTTGCCATTGACACTCAAGGTGGCCTTCGTACTTATCCCGATTGGTCTTATTATCTTCCTAATTGGATTCTGTTCTCCGTACTGGACGTATAGAGAGGTAAGTATGTGTCTGTATGTTACTCGTCAGTCTGTTCTTCTGTCACTCCTCCCGTCTGTCTACGGGATGTATGTATGTATGTAGTATGGATTGTATGCCTGTGATTTTACGTCTTTTCTGTGTTTTTCATTATAAGTATAAAGTTGTGACTCAGTCCCCTCAAGATACGCCTATGGAATGTGGAGTGACAATCCTCTGACAGTTCTTCCTCTAAAAGACCATGCCTCTCGAAGGCTTAAGGTGCATGCAGCAAGTGGGGAGAGACTCCAAACCTCACATCTGCTACTTCAGCGACTCTTTGAAGCTTCACTAACATCCCATTAATCAGCCTCCGATACCTCAGCAGTGGGCAAGCGTGTTTGAGGCCGCAAACGGGCAAATCGATGCCTCTTTATCCTTAGTAAAACTATAGCGGCCACAAATGATTGGTTTTCCCCGGCGGTTGCAACCGCCAGCGTCTTTATCCTTAGTAAATATCGATCGGGCGGTTGGTGACGGCACGCATGACTGGTTTTAGGGGAGGGGAAAGACATATGGTGTATAAATCGATACTTTGCATTGTCTCCATAGCAACTGGTGACTCATTGTCGGTATGTCGGGGTGTGGGTATTTTTAGGCGGAGTGACTTAAGGAAGGCAAATCGATATTTCTTTAGTGTATTGTTCTTCGGACAGGCAAATCGGTACTTTGCAGGCGAATTATTATCTTCAAAGCCGTGGACGACAGGTGGCGTTTGCCATGTCTGTCGATGTGGTTATATAAATGGCGACGTCAGGAACAATATTTAGGTGATCAGCGGGGCGGGCGGGGCAGGGGACCCAGGGCGACAGGGCGACTAATAGAGTTGGCGCGGGCGTATGTGCTCAGTGAAAGAAAAAATTTAGGAGTGTTTTGTTAGTGGGGGATATATGTCACAAAACAAAGCAATTTAGGGGAAATGAAAATAGACTTATAGGCAGCAGTGACAGGCGGCGGAGGGGGGCCTTTTTAGGGTTTAGATAAAGAAACCTAAGAAGGTGGCTTGATGACCAGGGATATATGATAAAGGGTGACTCGAGCGCTATCATCATCATATGTGTCATGGTATCGAAGGGATAGTTTGAGCTGTAGTAAAAAAGAACACTGTAGACGGGACATTAAGAGGCATACGATGGACTCCATTCACCATGCTTGAGGACCTTGATTTTGCAGATGATATAGCACTCCTATCACATAAACATGAACATATACAAGAGAAAAGTAACTGACTAAACTGCACAGCAGAAATGGTGGGACTGAGAATAAATACAAAGAAAACTAAGATCATGACAAACAGTCCAAACCAACAACCAGTGACCATAAGTAACCAATCACTTGAAAATGTAGAACATTTCACATATCTTGGCAGTGTGGTGTCCCTACTGGGAGGGACAGAGGAAGACATACAGTCATGTCTGAACAAAGCTAGAGCTGCTTTTGGAAGGATGAGGCAAATCTGGAAATCCAACAATTACTGCAGAGGAACTAAACTCCGACTCTATAAGAGCATCATTTTGCCAGTTCTTCTTTATGGAGCGGAATGCTGGAGAATGACAAAAAAGGATGCACACAAGCTGTCCACCTTCCACCACACATGTCTACGTAGAATTATCAAAATTTTCTGGCCTGATACAATCTCAAGCAAAGTACCACTTCAAGCCACAAACTAAGAAACTTTAGACAGTATGATTACCAAGAGAAGATGGAAATGGCTTGGCCACGTTATGAGAATGACTTCTGATATACCTGCCAAAACAGCTCTCACATGGACACCAGAGGGAAAGAGAAAACAGGGGCGCCAAAAAAACAACAGGGGGACGAACGATGGAAAGTGACCTGAGTGCGGCATCTTTGACATGGAAAACTGCAATGAAGATTGCACAGGACAGGAAAGCATGGAAAGTCCTCTCTGAAGCCTCATGTGCCACTAGGCATAGCGAGAACTGATGATGAAAAAAGAGGACGTACGACAGAAGGGTGGCTGTCTTGTCATAGTGTTATGGACCGGGCGGGGCAGGGGACCCGGGGTGACAGGACGTCTGTAAGAGTTCGTGTTGGTTTATAGGTTCTGTAATAGACAAACTTAAGAGTGGTTTGTTAGCGGGGGATTTGTATATGTTACAAAACAAAACAATTTAGGGGATATTAAAATAGACTTATAGGCGGCAGTGACAGGCGGCAGAGGGAGGGGGGGGGCGCCGTTTTAGGGTTAAGATAAAGAAACCTAGGAAGGCGGCTTGATGACTGGGGGTATATGATAAAGGGGAGGTCGTGCGCTGGCATCATCATCTGCGGTATGGTATCGAAGGCTGACCGCTTAGCGATGGTTTAAGCTGTAGTAAAAAGGAGAATGTACGACAGAAGGGTGGGTGTCTTGTCATACTGTTAAAAACCGAAGAGAAGAGGCTTACCGGACAACAAGTCTGGTATTATAAATAAATATTCGAAGGTTCTGATTGGTCAGTAGGATTCAGTGGTAATTCTGCTGGAGCAGTCGGGTTAGGAAAAGTCGTCAGGCGGTTGGTGTGGTGACAGTGACGGGCTTCCGTTTTAGGGCTTAGATAAAGAAACCTAGGAAGGTGGCTGGCTGACCGGGAATATATGAGAAAGGGTGGCTTAGGCACCAGCAGCAGCGTCTGTGTCATAGCAGCGAATGCCGGCCGCTCATGGAGGGTTTGAGTTAAGGTAAAAATGGGAAATTATGGTAAAATGGCAACCTTTATGCCATAGCAAAGAATGCCAGCCGCTCAGGGATGGTTTGAGCTGTAGTAGAAAGGAGAACGTATGATAGAAAGTTGGGCGGCTTGTCATAGTGTGTTAGATGTTGGTACTTTAGGAGGGTTTAGGTTGAAGTAGAAATGAAAACTTTAGAAAAGTGGCGGCTGTTGTGATATATTATTGGATGTTGGCCGCTCCTAGAGTGTTTGAGTTGAAGTAAAAAAGGGGAATTTATGGCAAAACGGCGACCCTTGTGTCATAGCAGCGAATGCCGTTCGCTCATGGAGGGTTTGAGTTAAGGTAAAAAAAGGGAATTTATGGTAAAATGGCGACCTTTATATCATAGCAACGAATGCCAGCCGCTCAGGGATGATTTGAACTGTAGTAAAAAGGAGAACATGCGACAGAAGGTCGGGTGTCTTGTCATAGTGTTAGAGGTTGGTAGCTTACGAAGGGTTTGTGGTGCAGAAAAAAGGAAAACGTTAGCAAAGTGGCGACTGTTGTGATATATTAATGGAGGCTGAGAGAAAACCATCGAGTGACTTGCTGTGTCAGAAGGACAGTTAGCTACTTAATAAGAACCTTACGTGACGACTTGTCAAGACCAGTGAAAGACAGACTCTGTGTCTTCTGTGGCTTACGGTGTACTGTGAAGAAAAACATCAGGTTACTTGTTGTGCCCGAAGGCTATTGATCGGGTTACCCGGCGTCTTCAGTTATCGCCTTGTCAAGACTATTGAAAGACATGTGCTTTTTCGTGAGTGATTTAAGCTGTCCGTCGAGAAAGATATAGTGCCCTTTTGGCACCTAAAATTGCCCTAGCACTCATTCGTCGCCTGTTAGCGCCGCCTCCGACCTACAACTTAATCCCTCTATGAGCGGTGATATCTAACAATATGACACAACAGTTCTCCCTTTTTACTATAGCTCAACCATATCTGTACGGCCAGAACCCGACACTTTGACACACCGGTCGTCATTTTGCTATTCCCCCCCCCCCCCACAACTTGAACTACCATGAGCAGCCAGCCTCCATTAATATATCACAACGGCCGCCACTTTGCTAACGTTTTTCTTTTTTACTGCACCACAAACCCTTCGTAAGCTACCAACCTCTAACACTATGACAAGACATCCGACCTTCTGTTGTATGTTCTCCTTTTTACTACAGTTCAAATCATCCCTGAGCGGCTGGCATTCGTTGCTATGATATAAAGGTCGCCATTTTACCATAAATTCCCCTTTTTACCTTAACTCAAACCCTCCATGAGCGGCCGGCGTTGGCTGCTATGACACAAAGGTCGCCGTTTTGCTATAACCCCCCACCCTATTTTTTTTTTTACTTCAACTCAAACCCTCCAAAAGCGGACTATGACAAACGGCCCACCCTTCTGCCGTACGTCCTCTTTTTTACTACAGCTCAAACCATCCCTGAGCGGCTGGCACTCGTTGCTATGGCATAAAGGTCGCCATTTTACCATAATTTCCCCTTTTTTACCTTAACTCAAACCCTCCATGAGCGGCCGGCATTCGCTGCTATGACACAGACGCTGCTGCTGGTGCCTAAGCCACCCTTTCTCATATATTCTCGGTCCTCCAGCCACCTTCCTAGGTTTCTTTATCTAAGCCCTAAAATGGAAGCCCGCCACTGTCACCACACCAACCGCCTGACGACTTTTCTTAACCCGACTGTTCCAGCAGAACTACCACTGAATCCTACTGACCAATCAGAACCTTTAAATATTTATTTATAATATCATACTGGTTGTCCTGTAAGCCTCTTCTCTTCGGTCCTTAACAGTATGAAAAAACACCCACCCTTCTGTCGTACATTCTCCATTATACTGCAGCTCAAACCATTCCTAAGCGGTCAGCCTTCGATACCATACCATAGATGATGATGCCGGCGCACGACCTGCCCTTTATCATATACCCCCAGTCATCAAGCCGCCTTCTTAGGTTTCTTTATCTTAACCCTAAAACGGCGCCCCCCTCCCTCTGCCGCCTGTCAATGCCGCGTATAAGTCTATTTTAATATCCCCTAAATTGTTTTGGTTTGTAACATATATATATCCCCCGCTAACAAACCACTCCTAATTTTGTCTATTACAGAACCTATAAACCAACACCAACCCTTATAGACGTCCTGTCGTCTCGGGTCCCCTGCCCCGTCCGCCCCGCTGTTCACCGATGTCAGGTAAGTCCCTTAACTTCGGCCCTTAACACTATGACAAGACAGCCACCCTTTTGTCGTACGTCCTCTTTTTTACTACAGCTTAAACCATCCCTTCGATACCATGACACAGATGATGATGATGGAGCTCGCAAGGCCCTTTATCATATATCCCTGGTCATCAAGCCACCTTCCTAGGTTTCTTTATCTAAGCCCTAAAAGGCCTCCCTCTGCCGCCTGTCACTGCTGCCGATAAGTCCATTTTCATATCCCTTAAATTGCTTTGTTTTGTAACATATATCCCCCACTTACAAAACACTCCCAAATTTTTTCTATTACTGAGATCATAAGCCCGCGCCAACTCTATTAGTCGCCCTGTCGCCCTGGGTCCCCTGCCCCACCCGCCACGCTGCTCACCTAAATATTGTTCCTGACTTCGCCATTTATATAACCACATCGACAGACACGTCAAACGCCACCTGTCGTCCACGGCTATGAAGATAATAATTCGCCTGCAAAGTACCGATTTGCCCGTCCGAACAACGATACACTAAAGAAATACGAATTTGCCTTCCTTAAATCACTGCCTAAATATACCCACGCCCCGACATACCGACAATGAGTCACCAGTTGCTTTGGAGACAATGCAAAGTATCGATTTATACACCATATGTCTTTCCCCTCCCCTAAAACCAGTCATGCGTGCCGTCACCAACCGCCCGATCGATATTTACCAAGGATAAAGACGCTGGCGGTTGCAACAGCCGGAAAAAATCAATATCTTGTGGCCGCCATCTTTTACTAAGGATATAGAGGCACCGATTTGCCCGTTTGCAGCCTCAAACACGCTAGCCCACTACTTACCTTCCCATCACATCTCCACACTGGTCAACACACACAACGTTCCCCAGCTACTTCAGTGCACTAAAGAGAAACCCAACCAGCATGCAATAGAGAAGCAACTGTGCAGCTGTCCATTCTAGAAATCCATCGGACAGATTTCCGAGTCCTACTCGTGATCCACGGCCATCTTTAGCTATAAATCTAGAGTTGGCGGTGTCGTGATCCAACCCAATCATCCCGATAGTTCACGTAAGTTCCACGAATTCAACCATCACTACAACTGTCACATTACACCGTCCATGCATCAACTGGGCGTAAACAATACGCGCGTACACGCCCACACTGGACTGACTGAAACTACCACTGGACGTTTACCATCTGCGGTCAGTTCCGCTTGGATCTCACTCTCTCGCACACAGATCCCAAAATACCCATGATGTCCTCAAAGTTCATGTTTCTGCAGTGTCTCATGCTCCACTAACAACTTTAGGTGGGTGATGTGGTCAGCATGTCTATGTTAAGTCAATTATAGTTAAGTACCCAAACAAAACATTGTCGCTGAAATATAGTCACATTGTAACAGACAAGTTAATCGGTACATTTTCAAGATACATCACGTGGTTACCATGGTAATGTCAAATTTAGGGACATGATCTTTTTGTTTACATAAAAAAGGGTGTTCAGTTTATTGATGCAGCCTCAGTTAGTCTTAGTCTGTTAAGTTTGTTTTAAGTAATTATAAATATGTCAAGTCAGTTAGGAAAGTTAACAAGCATACAGGGCAAAAAGTCCAAATCAGGACAAGAAAAGAGTGATTTATGGGACGTAGGTGGGTTGGGGTAAGGCCCAATTCTAGATGTTTTGGGGTAGTTAAAAGCATCAGAAAGCCGGAAAACCCGCTCTTACCATCCTCGAAAATATTGGACTGTCCTGTGACATCCTCTGGGGAAGGGGGGAGGGGGGAGGTATTGGGAAAGCACCCTGTGTTTAGCTCCCCAGAATTAGTAAAGAATGGTTGTTTTCTTGTTAGTGCCCGGGCCTTGTTGTTCGGTGTAATTAAAAGCCACAGTTCTTCTTCTTCTTCTCTTCCACCTTGTACCTCATCGAAGTGTCGGGGGGAGATGTAATGTTGTTGATGGGCTCTGTCAAGAGCACTATTAAGACTGATGTTTATTTCTGTAAGGCTGTTCTTAATGCCATCACTCCATATTTCCTAAGGTCTACCACTCGCTCTATACCCGTTGTAACGTTTTAGTGTGGCTCGCTGTGGCTGATAGTACCAGGGCATTCTTGTTAGCTGCCCAAACCACTTCATTTGTTGTTCTTTGATGACATGTAAGACTATCTTTATTCCTAGCATTCGTCTGATTTCATGATTTCGTATTCTGTCTTTCCTTGAAACTCCTGCAGCTCTTCTAAGGCATTTCATCTCTGTTGTCACAATTTTACGTTCATTGGAGGATGTAAGTGTCCACGTTTAGCATTGATAGCATAGTGCTGGCCAAAAAATAGTTCTGATAAGATTCACTTTAGTACTCCGAGGTATCTGCTTGTGTGTCAACAGGGGAGATAGTTGCCCCATTAATTGATTAGCTTTGGCACATCTAGAGCTGATTTAGCCACAATACTCTACCATAGTTCCATTTGATTGATTTGTATCTGTTACAAATCAGATTCACACGAAGCCGAGCGGCCGGATTCGTACCTACATGGACGGTTATGTCAGTTATGGCTTGTGGACTTTCTGCAGGGACACTGAGGAGTACTACGACCGGCAAACCAAGAGTGGTCTTGTGAAGATCGATGACTGCTGGAGTCTGGTCAACAACCCAGGTTTTTCAAACGGTATAGTCTCTTGTTGTTACTGTCAGGATCAGCAATGTCTTTTTTGTAATTCTTACAACGGCGGTAGTGGCGAGGAGTAACCAGTTCGCTTGTGTAAGAGTTAGCAGGTAACGATTACACTGGAAAGGGTATCACGTGATCGCTTGGCTATTGAGAGTTTGCGAGAGCAGCTAGCAGCGTAGACTAGTAACTGGTAGCTTTCATACGTTGCATTATCGGTAGGAGTGGTGTAAGCTTTTAGCGACCTCCCCCCCCCCCCCCCAGGGCTAAAGACGTAGCCCCAGTGGATTTATTCATAATAAATAATAAACAATAATAATAAATATAATAATTCTGAATAATGCATTTTCCGTTGGTAACTGTTTAGATTTAGACAACGGATCAACATCATTGCACAAGGGCAATAACCCATAAGTGCTCGGTTCTACTTCTGACTCAAGCCTGAATCCGAAGAATCTCAGCACTGTGCACCAACTCCGTAGCATTAGCGATGATCTTGAACTACTTTAGGTAGATTTTCAACTCCAACTGTCGAGGGATTTTGTACGTGCGCAACAATACACACGGGTGTACAGTCTTACTGCCCAGAGATCAGGGGAAATTACTAGAAGCAAAGATAAAGTCGTGAGATGTAAACCAGCGTCACTGCACACGTTTATAAACCATAAGTGCTCTGCCACCAGTACGGACAGCTGATAAGAAACTGTCCGCCTGTGTCGCCGTCCACACGCAACTCTGTAGCTACAGCGACGTTCCTCCATTTACCCCAGAGTGTCACTCTGGTACCCATTTATTAGAAGCTGGGTTAACCAACCCCGGGAACCGGCCGAGAGCTGCAGCGAGTCACAGCTGGATTTAAACGCTAGTCTCCTATCGACTGCGCTAACGCGAACTAGAAATCCACAAGAAAAAATTCCCAGCCTACTTCTGGGCTTGAACCCAGGACCTCCAGGACTGGAGGCGAACACCGTGTCTCGAGACCATGCAGCTCCCCAATGGTTGCTAATGGAAAGGGCTAGCGTCGATTACAGCTATTACATACCCCCCCCCCCCCACGGCTTTTTCCACAGCGTCTGCTTCTACTGCTGCTGCTGTTTCTACCACCGCTTCTACTGCTGTTTATACCGCTGTTTCTACTGCTGCTTCTGCTGCTGCTGTTTCTACTGCTTTTTCTACTACTCTTTATACTGCTGCTTCTACTGCTGTTTCTACTACCTCTTCTCCTGCTACTACTGCTTCTATTGCTGTGTCTACTGCTGCTGCTTTTACTGCTGTTTCTACTGCTGTTTCTGCTGCTGCTTCTACTGCTGTTTCTGCTTTTACTGCTGTTTCTACTGCTGTTTCTCCTGCTGCTTCTACTACTGTTTCTACTGCTGCTTCTGCTGCTTCTACTGCTACTATTTCTTCTTCACTTCCTCTTTTACCGCTTCTCATGTCAAGAGATGCTAGGTTCTGCTTCCTGCTCTGCTGGCAGCCTCTACCATAGACATACCGGGCTGTTGTAGAGTTTCTCTGATGTTATCTTTCCATTTTGTTGTTGGTCTACCTCGTGATCTGTGTGTCTTCTCTTTTACTGTGTACTTTGTATGGTATGTCGTTGCAAGGCAGTCTCCATAAATGGGCGTATCATCTTGTTTGTTGTCTTTGTGAGTAATTTAGTACTGATTCTGTGCAGACGCTTTCACTTATGGCGTTATTATTTATTTTATATTTTATTATCCCGTTCAGTATGCTAGACTATAATGGCACACACTTCTGTTTGTAAACAACAGCCGAGACGAGAGTGGCGCAGTTCTTTGAGACGGTGGGTCTTCTGCTTGTGCTTGCGTCCACAGTCCTCCTGGTGATCTCCTTGTTCGTGGATTCGTGCAAGGACAGAAGGATTCTGCCCATCCTGAGCGCCGTATTCTGTCTGTCTGCAGGTAAGTAATGTTGTAGTACTCCCATAGTAATGAAGGGGCTTTGTAATTCTGAATAACTAGTTCGATTCTATCTGCAGGCGATCACTTTGCGTTGATTTTCATCCAACTGTATAGAGAGCCAACCGCTGAGACAGCAATAGCAAACTACTGAATGTAAAATTGCCAAGTTAAATCACAAACAGCCAAAATATAATGTATCTGGTTCAACAACGTCCTGTAAAAGAATACGCAACTAAATTGTTTAAGGTGACAAAACCCTGTTTGCTACCTAATGTTGTTCGTCCATCATGAGGGCTGAAGACCACTTTTATTCAAAGTAATAATGATCAATACTCATGATTACGAAGGTGGCTGATTTGTCAAAATCCGTAGTAAGTGTTGGATTAGCAGTAGGATTCTTTCTAGTCTGCCTGGCAGGTTAATGCACCATGCCTGAGGGGTGTACGCCATCCAGAACGGTCTTATCCAGCAGTCTCCCACGTCGCTGTGTTGATGCCAAAAGAACTGGGAGCAGTCATGAGAGGTTGAAAATGATTGATGATGATAGCTGGATGATGATAGCTGGATAAAAGTGACTTGCGCAAGGACTTGGATTTAAGTGAGGAAGAGTTGCGCAATTCGTCGACCTCACTCTCTCGCCTGTGTCCATCTTGATCCCAATGGCAGGACAATGTCGGGACGACTGGAAATGGACCTGGGTGCAGTGAATAACCAAGGCGTCTTAAGTGCTCTGCCTTGCTCAAAGTTCTCCACAGCGCCTGCTGGTAATAGTCTTTTTGTCTGTTGAACCAAAAATAGGTTTCATCCGCACAATCCGCCGAGTCCAGTCTGTGCAGGCAGGGTAGGCATTTCCCAATCACCGAGTGGTTTAGAACCAGACCGGCTACCCTCTCCCGGTTTAGCCAGCCCGTCAAAGCTGTTGCCCGGGGGGTGGCCACTGTCGCATGCTGACAGCTGCTGGGAGTCACAGGAGAGAGCTGAGTGCCAGACCTAGCCCAATGGTGGTGAACTGTCCTAAGAAGGACATGACGGTCACTTGCTACCTACATCCCTCCTTTATGGGACGCAGTTTTTTTTTTTTTTTTAAGGCTCCACCCCGTCTGTGGTCGGGACCCAAATGGAACTTGACGGTTGAAGGGAGTTTCTGGGACTTGTGTCCGGGTGATATTCATCCGAATGGTGAGACTTTGTGTCACTGGGTGTTTATCACTAGTTGTACGATTGTGGTGGGGGATGAACCGCACTCACTCATAAATCTATGTCAACTTGCTGGAACCAGGAGAAATTTCTTAGCAGCTTTCACATTTATTGCCTATAAACATTATTTGGCATTGGGTGGTTAAACTAAATAACACACACAAAGGTTTTGGGAAAAGAGAATGCTAGAACGGTTTACTCGACGTATAGGTTTCGAATGCTTCTACTGCGATATAAAGATGTCGATAAATTATCCTCATTTCAAATGGAACCAGTCAGTCCGCAAAGGCACGAATCTCCTCTTCGGTACAGCTCGTAGCGTGTAGCTGCGGATAACACTAGTTCTGTGCTTGTTGATTCTTCTTCTGTACTGTAAAGTTCTCCTATCTGACCTTTCCCTTCTCACTGTCTGTCTGTCTGTACGTATCGGGTAGGGATGATAGAGTACTACTACTGAGATCAGCAAAGGAACCAGCCAGTCAATCAACAAAACAACCTTATTAAATACACCAACCAATCAATTAAGAAACTATCCAATCAACCACTAAGGCAACTACCCACTTAATCAACAAAACAAATCACACAGTTAACCACCCAACCACACCAAATTCACTGATGCCTATTGTACATTTCAGCCGGAACCATCCTTTTAGGCACAATCATCTTTGGAACCGCCGACCTGCACGAGCGTGACCTGGCCTGGGCGTTTGCTCTAGCTATAGTTGGAGGCATCATCTTCGCCATTGCAGGGGTTTTCATCATCGTTGGCGCCATTCTCAAGAAATAGTTGTTGTCTACGTGTTAGCAATGTTTGTAATGTGGGGATAGTAGAACTGTTGGCTGACAAAAATTGCACCGATGAACTGTGTGGTTTCTAATGTGTCCACCCATGATAACTATTTACTGCCTGTCTTTAACACTTTTAGGGTGCTACTGAAAGGGGGTGGGGGTAGGAAGAGGTGGTGTCGAATCCAAACAGTTACTGGCTGTTTAAAAACGAATAAAAACCAGCTCCTAGGTCGACTCAGCTTTAAATGTATGTCAAGTAGTCATGGGAAGTAAAGGCGAGTGCTGATTTGTCTAAAGAATATAGGTCTAGCACTATATGCCCAATATGCCCGAAGACATGGAAAAGGGTCCTTTAGGTAGTGCAGTCGCCACGAACTGTGCAGATAGGATATTTTCTGTTGCCCCTGATAGAGAGATAAACTTGACTTCTCACCGAGGATCGATTCGATGTCTCCCACACGATAGTTCAGCTCTCCAACAACTTGACTTGGTGTGATGCGTTTCTTTAACACAAGATGATGGTTTTGAAAAAAAAAAAGGCTTTGGGAAAGTTTCTGAAAATGGTTAAATTTACATTTTTGCATTCTTTATCTTTACCTGTACAAGATCTTTGCACAAAACGTTGGATATTGTAAGACAAGCTAGATATTGTGAAGGCCCTTTTGGAGCGAGTGAACAGTGCGGGCGCAGATAGATCATTACGGTCTAAGGAGAACGGCGCTGCGAGGAAAGAAGTTACCAGGAGATCTGGCCGACACTCAGGGGAAGGATGAGACGGATATACTTTCAGATAGTTAGTGGTGCATTCGGCATTGAACTCTTCGCCTGCTGCTGAAGATGGGGGACTGATCATTTATGGGAGTGTCCAGAGAGCTGTGATGTCGATTCTTAATTCAACTCTGATATTCATATTGCAAAAACGTTAAGATTATACAACAGATACAGTTTTATTTCCTAAAGCGTTTGTGAGTGGCATCCTGAGGGTTGTGGTGCGCCTTCTGTCTGGATGTCTCCTCCGACTATAGCACCTTATTTTGCTTATTGTGTTGAGCAGCTGGATCGACGTCTGTGGCTTCGCAACCACATGTACACACAATTTAAGACTGGCAAAATAGCCGCCTGCAAATGTGGATTAACACCTGAGATAACTAACTGATCACATCCTCCAAGACTGTCCCTAACACAACAAATCAAGACAAAACTTTTGGTAAAGGGAAACACCGAGGCAAGCCAAACTTTACGAGTCGAGTGAATTACAACAGACAGTGAAGTTTATTCTAGAGGCAACATCGCAGATATAGAAAATCTATTTCAAGCGAGCGAAAGAAGAAGAAAAACAAGATTATTAGGCAGATACTAAAATAGGAAGGTGCACGGTTTCCAAACATACTATTTGGAGGTTTTCTGAGATAACGTGACCATTTCCAGGGCAGCCGACACAAAGAAAATAATATATATTTGTATACAGTTGGGGAAAATTTCAAGGGTCATGAGCCTTTTTTTTTACAGTGCTTAATACTGATAATATGTTAGGAACCATAATCAACGCTTTCTATTTGGCATACAGGACTAGACCTATACTTTATAAACCAATCGGCACTCAAATTGTGATGTGGTCAACATCACACCGGCCGCCTTTACTTCCCAGGACTATACCTGGTACCCACTCAGGGCTGGATTGACCTGGAAGCCAAGTCCATTAAAAAAAAAAAAACAGCTTCGCTAGGACACGAACCTACGACCTTCTGAACCACAGGTGAGCATCTAGACACAACACTGCCTGGCTCCCAGTGATAATATGTGCTGAATTGCAAATAAATACAATAATATATGTGAAATATTGTGATAGAATTTCTGTTTTATATTTATAAAAAAAAAAACAGTCATAGAGAACTTGTATGCATGCCGGTGGGGGAGATGCTCAAGTTTCCTGATACCCCCTCTTCATCGCCTTAATTCTTTAACTTTCACCCATACCACTTTCAATGTATTTAACATGGGGGAGGGGAGTGTGGGGGGGGGGGGGAGTTGCAGGTATGATTAGGAGACCTTCTTCGTCGTGATTTGATTGTAAAAGTGTGTTTGCAAATTGTTGTGCATTACAGCTCGACTGCCGTATCTGCACCGTTTGATTTCCAGTAGTAATGAAGCGCCTTTCAGGACATGCTTGTGAGGGGAACAGTGGATCTATCCCTCCCCCAAATGAGGCCTGGAATCTACGCAGAAAGAGAAGGATTCGAACATATGACCACTAAGTTGGCAGGCAAGCGCGTTGGCCATTTATCTACCGCAGCTAACACTTAGCTGTAATGCTAAACATTAATACAATTACCAGAGCTTTATTTGGGAAATGAACCATATACAATAAACAAATATTATATTTAAAAAAAAAAAAATGCTCCATCTCCAGTGTAGGTTGCTTGCAATGTATCTACTGCCGAATATTAGTTAATGATGCTCAATTTCTTCCACGGTGTGACTCTCATACGGCTGTCTAAAAGCCTTGAGAATCACTTACCTGATGATCCAAAGGTCACAGGTTCAGGTCCTAGGTGAAGTCTGACTTAAAAAAAAAAAAAAGGACCTTAGCATTAAATGTGTACCAAATAAAGGGCCTGGAAGTAAAGGTGGCCAGCGTGACGTTAACCACATCACCCACCTAGTGCTTATTGCTCTGTCAAATATAGGTTTGGCCCTATATGCCCAATATACTAGAAAGCGTGAAAAAAAAGTCCTTTGCTTTTTTATATTATCAAACAGCTAGGATGTTTTTTTTTTCTTCTTCTTCTTCTTCTAGGCGTTGACTAGCTGTAAACTCTGGCGGAAAGTTCTAGTTGTTTTTGTGAAGTGATTCACTCCATTGTTAAGTCGCAGAGCTGTACATCCAATAATCATTGGGGAAGGAGATGCAGTTCTACACTACCGTAATCAAACCTCTAAACCACAAAAATAAACAGATGAGAAACCTCTGAAGCTACAGAAACATTACATATAATAATATATAATGTATGTAAGTGGTACCCACTAGAACATCACACAAGCGATAAACACCCGGTGACACAAAGTGCCCCATGCAGATGAGGATCACCCATGGAGAGGTTCCAAAAACCCCGTTCAGCCATATTTATGGCCCAGCTATATTTAGGGTCCCCGGCAAAAACCAGGGTGGGGCTTCAAATAACGAAAAATTGCATTCCACATGGGGATAGCATTCACTATATAATTTATAACAAACAAGCAGGCGTGTATTGATAGGCACTTAGAGAAAGAAGTATGGTGTTACATAAATCCGACTACAGTAAAAAAAATGTTTTCAATAATTAAATGCTGCATCATGGGAGTTGAGTAGTTACAGATATTCGGTCAATCTGGAGTGATTTATGAAACACCATATATGAATTATAAAAACCATATATGAATTATAAAACACCATATATAAAGACAGAAGGACACTACTTCTTTCTAAAAGTTATGTTGTTTCAATAATTAGGCTCCCAGTGGTGGCTCTTGGATATTATTTTATCCCAGCTTTGGGCCAAAAGCCCTCACATCACAGCCTAGTTGTAAACTACAACACAAGGTAAAAAGTGAAGTAAAGTAAAGTCGAGAGATGTAAATCAGCGTCATTGTACACGGTTATAAACCATAAGTGCTCTGCCACCAGTAGGGACAGCTGATAAGAAACTGTTCGCCTGTGTCGCCGTCCGCACACAACTCTGTAGCTACAGCAATGTTTCTCCATTTACCCCAGAGTGTCACTCTGGTACCCATTTCCTAGAGGCTGGGTGAACCCCCGGAACCGCTCGGTTTTGACACCAACCGTGGGTGTAGAGAATCACAGCTGGATTTAAAAGCAAGCCTCCTATCGACTTCGCTAACATGGCTCCTAACAACACAAGGTGCCAACACCAACAACAGTAGTAAACCTCGTGGTACTAGGTAAAGATAGGACAAAACGCCAGAAAACATTACAGATACGTCTACCTTGATTTAACGTACTGTCTGAATAATATTAGTTTAAAGGCATGATTTAGTGGGACAAATACAGCGGTGGTTTCTCGTTTGTTTTTGGTTCAACTCTAATAGCCTTTGTCTAAAGAGACATGAGATCAGTCAAGGATGTGTCAGGAATTGTGGCTGGTGGTCATATCATAAATTACCTGTGGTAATTTCTGGTCATGACCTAGATTCCCACTTAGTATTTAATGATGATGATGATGACGCTGATCATGAATATCAACTCAAGTAAAAAAAGATCCCTTTTTCACGCCTTAGGCGCATCGAGCATATGAGAAGAGCGCCCCATATTGTTACAGACCAATTGGCACTGAGTGGGTAATGTGGTCAGCATTACGCCGGCTGTCTCTGTGGGTTGGACTTGCAACGTCTAAGCCACGGAAGCTGCTATGAATATCAACTACATGCTGCAAAACATTCCAGACCAAATGATAAGGGAACAGGTCTGAACAAATAACACAGATAGATCTAGAGCTGTCCTTACTGCTGCTGTCTTTGATAAATCTGAGCCAGGTGGAGTTCTGAATTCCTTTCTCTTTAATTTGATATATTTTATGTCACTATGCGGACAATATGTTTTTTTTTTCTGAAACATTTTGGATTTGTCATGCTGCAAAAAAAAAAAAAAAAATTAAGCTCAGAATTAATTCCGTTCAAACACCAGTAAAAGCCCCACACTGAAAGAGTTAGACATGCTTTCGTCAAGAAACACACACTGAGGTAGATATATAGCTGCAATATTTCTTTAGAAACAAAGTCAATGCAGAGTTAACTCCCATTGTTTCACACTGGGCATCTATTCCATGCACTAACGGGTCCTGGGGTAGCAGTGCTTGTTTGCTGGCTCAGTGGCACCGGCACCTGGGGAACCAGGCTCCTTTAGCCCCCCCCCCCCCCTCCTCCAAATTAAGCAGGGGGGGGTGGGAGGGGAGTCAAAACAATTGACTCACTACCACAAATCCAGAGAGTCAATACTGAGTTTTTGACAGAAATTTTATTTGATCTTCTGACATAATGTCACACATGCTGCACTCAAGCATAAACATAATCCAAATTGAATTACAAAAACAAAACCAACATTATAAGCCACATAATTATTTTAAAAAAAATTTGCCGCAGCTGAAATCACAAGAGATCATGTATAAAGTTGAACATTGCCAGGAAGCAGAGACTAAATGTACAAGATCAACAGGCTACACTGAGACAAACAAGCCTGGTGAGAAGTTTAAAACAAGGCCATTGTAATTTGATTCCTAAGAAGTGGATATCTGGACTGTGTTGTATGGTTGAAAACCTTTATATGCATTCTTGATTTGGTAACCGATGCCAATCATATCTCGATGCAGTGTATCCACCCAAGACATGCAAGACAGATACAACAAAACCATTACATTGGGCTATAACCTGGTATCAGCGAGATGACAAAAAAAGAAGATGGCACATTTTTTGTTGGGACGACTGGAAAAATAACACCAACACACAAATAAAATCTTAGAAGAACAGTATTTTTAAAGACGAGAAACTCTTTCGGTCCCAGAAGCTCACAGCTGATGCCTAAATAAGGTAAAAATGACAGCAACAAAATCATGGGTATACTACACCCACAGGAGCTAAATATACAACCCTTGCAAGAGTTCTGTGTATTTTACTATGTCCTCTCTAAATACACAATGTATCAGCATAGTATTCTGACTAGTGTAGATGATGTACATGACTAACTGGAGTCACACAGGCGTCTTGTTTGAGACTGGAAGAGGTAAATGAACACTGAATGAGAACTGCATTTTTTTTGCCTCTCCTAATATTTTTTTCTTAAATGTCTGTAGACCTGAAGTCTTCTTATTTGTCTTCTTTATATTCACCAGCTGTAAACTCGGAAAGTTCTGGTTGTTCGTCCACTTCTGGACTGCAGTCCTGTTTCAGAACTTGAATATTGCGTGTGCATCCATTTTACAGATCAGACTCATTTGTAAACAGACTGCTGGTTCCTTGCCTCTCAGGCAGATGCACTCTGATTTCGAAGGAAGCCCCCAATTAGTCAACTCTTACGACTTTCTTTTGGGTAGGCATTGGGTCTATTATTGTTTTCCCTGTAACAGGACCCCGGAACCCACACAGGGAACCTGAAGTCAAAACTGGCCTGTTTTCTATGTTAGCATTTGTTTTCTATAGTTCTTAATCTGAACACTAACTGAATCTTTGAACACAAAGGCGCTTCAGAGAATCAGAAAAGAAAGATTTGGCAACACTGATCAGTGTGGCTCCCATACACTTGTTCCAGAAAACTCTGCTTTCAAACACAGTGTGTAAAGAGAGATCTACAACAGAAAGACCAAAGAATTGATAGCAATGGAGAGACCTAGTCAGTTTAAACTGAGTTGAAACAGAATCAAAGTATTCAGTATCTCAAATCAAAGTTTTTTTCAATGTAATTTGACACATAACCACTAAACAAGGCCATAGGCAACCAGAACTGTTAAAATAAAAGTTTTTTTTCAGTTGTATTAATATGATCTAACGGCCTCTCAAAAACAATACTGCAGGGCTCAGTAGAGGGAAAGGCAGACAAGAAAGACCTGGTTTCAGAACCTGAGTGACTGAACATGTCTCAGGCATGCAACCATGAAGTCCATCGCAACTGACCACCAAAGGTGGAGAGAGCTGATCAGGTAGTCAACAGAAACTGGTGACCCCACGACACGTAGTGTTATGGGATGATGATGAAATATGAATTGTAATTCATTATGTCTTCTGAGCCAAATGACATCCACAGTTATACAGACTACTAATAGTATTGGAACTCTGTGCTGGCTGCTGAAGATGAGGACAGAGCACACAAGGAAGTGCCCCGAGGGCTGTGATGTCAATTCTTGACTCAGTTATAGAGAATAATCATCACTTGATGGGTGATGTGCTCACCTTTACCTCCCATTACATTACCTGCTACCCAATTTAGGCTGGGTCAACTTAACAACCAAGGTCAGTTTATAAAAATCCCAGCATGGTTTCCTCAGCCACATTTTTTGGGTGAAGAAAAAAGACTCACTAACCCCACTCTTAAATAATGACTAATTAGGGTTTTTTGCTGTGCTGGGTGGTTGAAAGGTGCAGCCATTAACCACAACACTATGTGCCAACAGCCTTTTTAAAGGTGGAAGAAGAATAAATATCAGTATGGGTTTGAACCCAAGACCTTCAGGCAAATGTCTAGCCATTATCTGAACACCATCTTAGCATCAATACTCACAGTTATTAGAGGAACACATAAAATGGCATGAAAATATACAGCTGTTATAAAATATACTCATTTTGTTATAAAACTACCTTTTTATGTTAGTTTGTGGATATGTTATAGATAATAATTAAAACTAAAAATAGCAGTTAAAACATATAATTATGTCACCTTCTGATCAATAAGTGTACATTCAGCAATCACATTCAGCTAGAAATGATTTTAATGTAGCGACAACTAATCCAGGTGATTCCTTAAAACTTTTTACCAACACAGAAATTACACCAAGAAATCCAAACATTAACTCCGATACCTTAATCTTCCCACCCAGCCCAAGAATTACTCCTACGAATCTGTAGATTATTTCCCGTCCTGTAATCATATTTATTAATTCCACTTCACCAATTCAACAATTCAACAATTCAACAATTCAACAATTCAACAATTCAACAATTCAACAATTCAACAATGTTGAATGTTGAATTAAGAATCAACATCACAGCACTCTGGACACTCCCATAAGTGCTCCGTCCCCATCTTCAGCAAGCAAACGAAAAGTTCCAATTCCGATGGCACCAGTAACTGTTTGATGGTGTATCCGTCTCGCCCCTCCCTTGAGTGTTGAGCGTCAGCCAGATCCCCTGGTATCTCCTTGCAATGCCGTTTTCCTCAGGCCGTAATGATCTATTCGCACTTCTGCACTGTTCACTCACTCCTAGAGAGCCCTCACATCTAGCTTGTCATACGTCAAGTTTGAACCTTCAGTACTTTTTCTCATTGTCTAACCTAGATTTAGTTAGTTCACCCAACTTTTAAACAATCTCAATCAATGCCTAAAACAATCTCAACCAATTCTTTAAACAATCTCAATCAATGCCTGAAACAATCTCAACAAATGCCTGAGACAGTCTCAATCAATGCCTGAAACAATTTCAACAAATGCCTGAGACAGTCTCAATCAATGCCTGAAACAATTTCAACAAATGCCTGAGACAGTCTCAAGCAATGCCTGAATCACTGGACCTTCCCTGAATAACTTACACTAATCCTGAATCACTGGACCTTCCCTGAATAACTTACACTAATCCTGAATCCTCAAATGAACCCAATAAACCTCAGCCCAGATGAATTCCATCCCCCCCCCCCCACACCCCCCCCCCCAATTGAACCCCCCCCCCCACAACCCCCCCCCCCCAATTGAACCTCATAATTTCAACTCACAACCCTCACAATCATGGTTTCATGAAACACTCTCACAAGGACAGACTCTAGACAAATTATAGAGAACAGAAAAACAGACAGAAACATACATCATGCTATGCTGAAATAGATATGGGCTAGGCTTTAGCCTTGACCTTTATACTATGTCACTTGTAGTGGTCACAATTGTCTTCCCGTCATACTTGCTCTTGAACTGCTCGGGTAGAGCATATTCCTTCTGTTAAAGAAAAGAAGCAAAACAAAAACATGTATAAATAGGTAACAGTTAAACTTGTATCGTAATCTCCCAGTACTGGGTTTCCCGAGGCCTTCTGTGGGGGGAGGGGGGGGGGAAAGATTTTTAGTATAGACCAACTGCTTAACAAGCATGTCATTTAAAAAAAAATGTCAGCTGCGTATCCTTTACAGGACGTATCCTTTACAGGACGTATCCTTTACAGGACGTATCCTTTACAGGACGTATCCTTTACAGGACGTATCCTTTACAGGACGTATCCTTTACAGGACGTATCCTTTACAGGACGTATCCTTTACAGGACGTATCCTTTACAGGACGTATCCTTTACAGGACGTATCCTTTACAGGACGTATCCTTTACAGGACGCATCCTTTACAGGACGTATCCTTTACAGGACGTATCCTTTACAGGACGTATCCTTTACAGGACGTATCCTTTACAGGACGTATCCTTTACAGGACGAATCCTTTACAGGACGTATCCTTTACAGGACGTATCCTTTACAGGACGTATCCTTTACAGGACGTATCCTTTACAGGACGTATCCTTTACAGGACGTATCCTTTACAGGACGTATCCTTTACAGGACGTATCCTTTACAGGACGTATCCTTTACAGGACGTATCCTTTACAGGACGTATCCTTTACAGGACGTTGCAGAACTGACAACAGCATTTTGTGGCTGTTGTGATTTTTCTAGGCAAATTTTACACTCAAACAGTTTGCCACTGCTTTCTAAATGGTCTCAGTACTACTGTCGAAACCAATGCAAGACATCCTCTGCAGCTGGGATCGAACACGGCACCCCAGCACCACCAAGCACATTCACAGTGCTTAAGAAACAGACGCCAATGTCGTAAAGTGGGACTTATTAAGGATTTGCTGAAATCAGATGTGTTGATTTGAAATGTTTAAATATCACAGCTTAGCGGTACCAGGGCAAACAGAGACAAAGAATAGTAAGATTAAGAATTTATAGAAGAAGAAGAAGCAGAAGATGAGGAAGAAGCAATAAAAGAAGCTGAAGAAAAGTAGGGAGAAAAAGCGGCAGAAGAAGAAACTGAAAAAGAAGAATTACCACTGTAAAGACAATTTTATTTATTGGTGTGTAGCGTTTTGTCTCAGTTGACCAACCTGATTCAAATGACAGCTTTGCTTTAGTCAATGTCTGTGAATTAGGTGTTATGAGCATAGTATCATAATTCTACCACACTGGGTGTGAGGTCGCCCGCAGATGATCTGGCAGCAGACCATTTTGTAATGATTTAGACAGTGGTATAAGCAATGAGTCTTTTAGAATGCAATGGCAAACTACTAAGCATGAAAAATGCTAAGTAAAATTACACAACAGCCAAAAAATGCTGAAGCTGGTCTGCGACGTGCAACTGACTTCTCATCTATTAACTGTTAAACTATGAGCTGCTGGCCGAGTGATTAAAAAGTCAGGCTCTCATGCAGGGGACTTGAGTTCAACATCAGTACGGTCGTGGAGACTTTTCTGTCAGATGCAAAAATAAACATCCTAGCCTGCAGTCTGTAGAGACATCATTAGCCATGCGGACACGAACCCTTAGGCTCACGACCCCACTGTCTACATCCCCCTCCCCCTAAAGTGGTAAATAAAGACAGGTGCGACAAGCTATCTAATTCAATTTCATAGCAAACAGATCAACCCCCCCCCCCCCCCAGCTGCTCCGTTTCTGGGCCACAGAAAAACCACATCAAATGTTGCATTGCTGTCCCTTGTAAAAGAAATTGACACAAACCACAATCTTAGCAAATCTAACAGCATACACCTGCAAACTGACTCAAGTCCCAAACACTGTATCACATGTGATTTATTCTTCTCTGTTATCTAAGCCATTGCACAACATATTTCATTATTGTTATGTTTAGTCCACATCATGGCACTCATGAAACCCCCCTAAGTGCTCCATCCCAATCTTCAGCAAGTTAGTGGCACAAAATTCAGTCGTAAGTCAAGGAGACCCTTATATATGTGTGTGTGTGTGTCTGTGTATATATATATATGACAGACAGAAGGGGGTGGAGAGAAAGAGAGAGAGCAGGGATTAGAGAAAAGAAGAAATAGACACAAAAACATCTAAAAGATACAAATAAAAAACAGGTGACTCACATAATCTCCGTTGCCAACAGGCACCAGGATATTCATCTCAGAAGACTTAGCAGTGAATAACTCCACGTCCAGAGAGCTGGGACTCAGGTATATCATACAGCCGTCCGTCTTGTCTATGCTCAGTGTCGGGACTTTACCAGTCACCTGCAAAAGGCAACATTTGATAATCTGATCTGACAGTCATGTGACAGATGAAGGTTCTGACAGGCTTAAAGTCGAGAGGATCAACTTCATTGCACTGGGTTTTATCCTATTTGGCTCAGTCTCTCCATAAAATGACCAAACGCCTGCTGTGAGCATCACACAGAGCACAAACCTCATATTTCTAGAAAGGATTCCCAGTCATTCTGTACAAAAGGCCCCCATAAAATAAATAATACAGCCCATGAAACGACTCAGGAAACATTCTGAGAGTAAGGCAAATGGCTGAATAGATTTGCCATGGAGACTCCTTGTGATACTGATAAAGGAACATGAAGTACAATGAAGTACAACCTGTGCTAGGATTTTACCGGTAGCCCACAAGACAGAACTACTGATACTGTGTGTACAGCTACTGGTGATTCTTCAGGAGACACTGCTGCAGGAAGGTTAAGTGTTATTATGATCAATGTTGGACGCTGTTGAATATCTGGGGATGTTTCTAAAGGGACATGGTCAGTGTGGAGATGATACTGATCACCTGCAAGATAGAATCATAGGTACTCTGTGTGTGTGTGTGTGTGTGTGTGTGTGTGTGCAGTGTCTAGGAGTTCCACTGGAGATGTTGTTATAGAAATAAGCCCCTGTGTGGGTTCCAGGTCCACTGCGCCTCTAACAAGCATGACATAAAAGTTAACCAGTCAAGGGTGTTTCCTTTGAAGTCAGAGTACATCTGTCCGTGAAACCAGGAACCATCAGTCTGCACACATATGAGCTAGATCTGTCAAACGGCGGTGCATAAAAAAGGTCAAGCAATAGGGCAAGATCAAATTCCAGAAGTGGACGAACAACCAGAACTTTACGCCTGAGTTTTCGGTTAGGTAATCTGAAAAAAAAAACCCAGAATAACTGCAACATGAAGTATCATGTGTAGAGATTTTACTGATAACTTGCAAGAAAGAACCATTTAAATTATTTCTAGTTACTCGCAGGACCTCAGGAAATGTCCTAAAGCAGCGGTTCTCAACCTACCGGTCACGACCCTTTTTTGGGTCGATCGATCCTTTCACAGGGGTCGCCTAAGACCAAAGGAAAACCTATATTCATTAAAGTTATGAAGGAAAATGAGTGTTTGGTGGTCGCCACAGCATGAGGGAAATGTATTAAAGGATTGCGGCATTAGGAAGGTTGAGAGCCCCTGTTCTAAAGGAATAAAAAGTGTTATAGTCAGAATGGGGATTTCTTCTTCTTCTGCAGGTGCTCTTAAAGGGATGGCTGATAGGCTATACTGTGGTTTACAGCTAGTCTGTGATATATCAAATCGCTAGAAGATTTTTCCGTCCAACTGGAACCACTTTCAAACCTCTTAGGAATCAAAGGTAGAGGATTTTCGAACTACTTAGTTTTTCAAACATGAAAAATTTTTAGTTCAAAGTGAAGATGGTATATTGTCATTTGCAAAAAAAGAAAAAAAAACAATTTTTTTTGACCATCATAATAATTAAAAGAGAGACAACTTGACATTATGTTTCAGGATTAACTTTTAGCACCAAAAAAAGTGTTATCCTTGACACAGCCCCTGGTAAACAAACCTCCCAGCACCTGTTGGCTGTCTTTCTTTTTACTAGGCAATTTTACATTTAGTCGTCTTGCAGGAATCTTTGCGAAGTGGACTGCTGCCAAACATTCTGCAAGTGACCTTAACTTGGTATGTCGTAAGTGACAGCGTTATCACAAGCATTAAGCAGTAGACATCAATAAGGTGGCCTTGTCGCTAAGGTCACACAGCTGGATTGGTGATAAAACCACCAACAAACGAAAAAAATTTTTTTTTTTTAACTACAGGGCAAGTCCCACTGGGTTTGGCACTCTAACCTTAAACCTTTGGGTAACTGATAGGGCATGCAGAGGGCATTATGAGGAACCAATCCGGTCAAGAACAAAAAAATATATACATATAAGGGACCGACTACTCCACACTCAACACTCTCATGACCAACCCACCTGGGCTTGCATACTCTGGCAGTTGACAAACTCTAGCGAAGACACCAGATCATCAAACACAATACCCGTCTTCTTACAGGAATCTGGAAAATTAAAATGTAACTATTTTATTCAAAATGTTTGAAACAAAACATGCACACGCAAAAGACACCATCTTAGTACAAAACTGTGAGTGGCCTTCTGTCCGTGAACTGGTAGTGTCTTATGCAATAATGCACATGCAAGTGCTGATGTGTTGTAAGTGCTACTTCCATCGACGATGAGCTGTAGCTCTAGTCGTGGGGCCATTTGTGTTGGAATTTCTAATGGCTGCCTTATTTATTGAATGTGTATGTATTCTACTGGCTTTGCTAGCCACACAGGCCATCACCAAGGGCTGTGATTCCCACGCCTCCTCAGAGGATAATATAACACTACTGTCTGGAAAGATGGAGAGGTGTGTGCTGACAACTCTACTGGCTATGCTGAGACTGCCTTCCGATTCAGTGTTTTCACATAGGACAAGAGTAGGCACTCTTGTCTTTTGTTGTTGTTACTGGCAAAGGAAAGGAACTGTCACATGCTAGCTAGCCAACTAACTAACTAAACTAACCTATCTACCAGTAATAAATGTACTTCATAGAGTGACTAATTTACAGTAAAGAGTCGGAACTGTTCATTTTGTTATGTAGATCTTCCATGCAGATATTTCTGTAAGGATCTGAAATATTAAAACATGTGCACAGATATTTCCGCAAGGATCTGAAACATTAAACCGTGCATACAGACATTTCTGTAAGGATCTGAAACATTAAACTGTGCACACAGATATGTCTGTAAGAATCAGACATATTAAACCATGAGCAGATATGTCTGTAAGGATCAGGAGCTTTAGAGTGTGTGCTTTGTGTGATGCTCCTGACAGGCTACAAGCCATTTTGCAGAGGAATACTGAGCTATGTGGGATAAAACTCGACACTTGGGTTTTCCTCTGGAGAAACAATGCTGGCCGAGAAAGGGATCATGGTGCATGGGCAACAACACATGATTTCTAAGTACTGTCAACTCTCTGTGCTTGGGAGAGGAGAACTTTCATTGCTGGCCTTAACTGCCCATCACCATAGGCTGTGATTCCCCAGGTTGATCCACTCTTAAATAGGTACCTGCTTAAGTCCTCGGAAGTAAAGGCGGCCGAGAGGAAGCTGACCACAAAACACCCCCTGAATGCCGATTGGTCTAGAAAATAAAGGTCTAGCCCTATATACCTAACAAACCTGAAGGCATGGAAAAGGGTCCTTTGCTTGTTTACTTTCATAGGCTGTATTTCATATGTCTCCCAATAGTATAAAAAAAACAACACTATCATCTGGAAAGATGGAAAGGTGCCAGCGAGCCCACCATCACTGCAGGGAACAGCCAAGATCCTCTTGCAGTTCCTAGCAGGCTAATTCATCACACACAAAAGCCTGTTTCAAAACAGTTTCTGCAGTTCCCAGGCTTTTTGAAGCCATTATCAGTTCTCCCTTTCTTAGCCTCTAGGTGAAGGTTTGTGGACTAATTCATTTCATCCACACAAAATTCCTGTTCTCAAAACAATGTTTTCTTGCAGTGAATTCGAATAATGCAGACACAAACAATAGTTTGCAACATTTACTGCCAGGCATATTTCGCTGCATCTCATGAGTGTGTTGCTGCAGAGTTACAACACACAGTGAAACACAAAACCTGAATCAATTCTAGGGTAATACAAATGCTGACTTGTGATAATTTCTGTCCACCGCCGAAAGTTCACAATAGCCAGCTGACTGACCCCGGTAACTTCAAAATTTAGAATGAATTCCTTCTGTTTACACTGTTTTTTTTTCATTTTTATTATTATTCTTAAGCCAGCAGTCTCATCATTTAACTCTTTGGTGTGTTTTAAATCACACGGTATACACTGACCTTGTCAATTAAATGTTTGGAACCAAGCAAATGAGGTCCAATGAAGAGTTGGGTTCTCTCTTCTTGGTTGATTTTGATTCCACCCTTGTGGAATCACTCAGCTGCACAAGGAGCCATTTGGGTATATGTTCTGCCGATCCGTTTTCAAGTTGTCTCTCTGAATGACCAAAGCTAAGTCATGTAAAATCATATGTGCCAGTCAACAACGTGCTGCTGTCAGTGTGCTAACATAACAGTTGGTGAATGGATGAACAGCAGAAAGAACAGATCACCAACTGAAGGAACAGGTAAGCAGAATGTAGGAGGAGACCAGATCACGAGGACAAGTTATTAGAGAATATATAAGCAGGCCTACGAAAACTTGGCGTCACCTACTAGAAAGAGCAGGCCAATCACAGAGACAAATAGAGGGGGGAGATTTTGCAGCAATGAACCTCAATGGCCCGGAATGCTGAAAAAGAAGTTGTCACAACAAATTCAAGTTTCCCCTCCCCCTCTTCTCATAATGTGGCAAAATCAATCACTTTCTGGACTTTAACAAACTGTCTACGTAATTAAGTTTACAAATTTTTTCTTTTTATTTATGTGTAGGAGATACGTACCAACGACAATGGAGTTAAGTTTTCCGACAACTTTGATGACACAGTCCTCACACTTGTAAATGTAAACTGTCTGTTTGATGTCAACGTTGTCCAAAACAATGTTCTTGTTGTTCTTGTGATATTCCTGTAAAAGGTCGATGCAAAAAGTGACTATCAGAGCACACAAGGAACAGAAGGGCCCAGCGGAACTACAAGAGGATCATTTATAGTTGATAATTAGGGAATATAAGCATGTAGATATATAATGAGCATAATGGAGCATGAGGGACACAAAGGAACACAATAGGCAAACAATAAATATGAGAGACATAAAGAAATTTAATGGGCACATACAGAATATAATTGATATATTAGGAATATGAGTATACAGAGTAGGGTTATTGGTGGCCTGGGGGCCAAATCTGGCCCACTGAAGACTAGCGAGCGGCCTGCCGATCACTGCCAGTTGTACTGCATTATTCATCTTTCTCTGTGACCACCCTCATTTTCAAAATTCTGACCCCTGAGTGAATTTAGCTTAAAAGTACTGAAACAGCGTGTACCATGAGCTTACACCTAATACTGGGGACATATTAGGAATGTAATGGGCACATATGAGAATACAGAGTATTACCATACAAGGGATAACAGTAAAAGGGAGAGAGAGATAGAGATAGAGAGAGAGGGAGGGTGGCAGAGAGAGAGAGAGAGAGAGAGAGAGAGAGAGAGAGAGAGAGTAGAGAGAGAGAGGGAGAGGGAGAGAGGGAGAGGGAGAGAGAGGGGGAGAGAGAGAGAGAGAGACTGTGTGTGCGTGCACATGCATGTACCCCTCTTCTCCCCCTTTACCTTGTGAGCATCTTCCCAGTTAAATACTGTTTTGTCTTCACATAGTTCCCCAGCCTATGCTACCAGTGCCAGACATGGCTGGTCACACAACAAACCAGACAAGAAAATTAGTAACCATGGAAATGAGAAGTCAGAGAAAGGCTGAAGGAGTGACCAGAAAAGATAAAAATCAGAAATGAGGTCACAATAGAAAAGACGGCATAAAATGAATACTTAACCACACACAAAGAATAAAAAAAAAATTGTTTGCCCGTTTAGAAAAAATGCCTTGTGATGCCATATCAGCATACACAAACAGAGGAGAGAGAGAGAGAGAGAGACATAGACCATGAGGTAGACCAAGAACACAGTTGACAGATAACATCAGAGAAACTACAAAAGTACAGGGATCCTCAACTTGACAACAAGTTCCGTTCCAACTAAGAAATTGTAAGTCAACATGGTCCTAAGATGAATTTATATTTTTCAGCATCATTTTCAAACAGTCTATAAAAAGTATTTAAATTAAAAAAAAAAAAAAATTCAATAGAGGTATGTATAAACTGCTATACAAAAATACATAACATGTACTTTACTGCATCAGTCCTGGCAACCTTTCGACCCTACCAATGGAGTTATCTTTCTTTATTTATCATTTTTATTGAATTATTTTTGTGGTGACAAGCGCAGATGGTCGTAAGTCAAGCAGAAGGTATACAATATAAGTCAAGCAGAAGGTATACAATGTAAATCAAACAGAAGGTATACAATGTAAGTCAAGCAGAAGGTATACAATGTAAGTCAAGCAGAAGGTATACAATGTAAATCAAGCAGAAGGTATACAATGTAAGTCAAACAGAAGGTATACAATGTAAGTCAAGCAGAAGGTATACAATGTAAATCAAGCAGAAGGTATACAATGTAAGTCAAACAGAAGGTATACAATGTAAATCAAACAGAAGGTATACAATGTAAATCAAACAGAAGGTATACAATATAAGTCAAGCAGAAGGTATAAAATGTAAGTCAAGCAGAAGGTATACAATGTAAGTCAAGCAGAAGGTATAAAATGTAAGTCAAGCAGAAGGTATACAATGTTAGTTAAGCAGAAGGTATACAATATAAGTTAAGCAGAAGGTATACAATATAAGTTAAGCAGAAGGTATACAATGCAAGTCAAGCAGAAGGTATACAATGTACAATGTAAATCAAACAGAAGGTATAAAATGTAAGTCAAGCAGAAGGTATACAATGTACAATGTAAATCAAACAGAAGGTATAAAATGTAAGTCAAGCAGAAGGTATACAATATAAGTCAAGCAGAAGATATACAATATAAGTCAAGCAGAAGGTATACAATGTAAGTCAAGCAGAAGGTATACAATGTAAGTCAAACAGAAGGTATACAATGTAAGTCAAACAGAAGGTATACAATGTGTCTATGATCAAGGTGGTCAAAACAGCAGGAATCAGAACCTTATATCTTTCTCAACACCCAAAGCGGTTACAAATAATGATATGAAGAATTCAACTGGTCTCTCTCTCTCTCAAATTAAAATAGCTAGAGAGTTCAGACTTACCACAACCCATTTCTTGCCCTGTAGCTCAGTCACTGGTGGGCGGCTGGGTGCTGCTTGAGCCTTGGCTACAGGTTTGGGGGATGTGTTGGGTTTGGGTCCGGCTGCGGGTTTAAATGGAGCAGGTCCTTGCCTCAGGGTGGGGTTCTTGTGTGTCTTCAAGTCATCTGACACCTTCTTGAGGCCTGTGGTAATAAACAGCCAATCTTGATGTATGGAAGAGAATCATGGAGATTCAGCAGAGAGAAAGTTAGAAATTATGTGGAGATCTGAAAGTGTGGTGTGCAGTTCTGTAGCTCACTGGTGAGTGAAATTGTTTCATATTCCAATCCTTAGTTTACTAGGATTAGATTTCCACAGCTTTCAGAGTGGCAAGAGAGGTGCATTGTGGAAGAAACTGGGACCTCACCATGTAATACTTCTGAAGACTGCACACTGCAGCCAACATACTCAGTGAAGGCAACACTTCAGAAAAATTAGTGGACAAATAAAAATATCTTGACAAAAGTAAACTCATAATAAGTTCTAGTTTCTGTTAGAAAAATTATTGGACAAATAAAAATATCGTGACAAAAGTTAACTCATAATAAGTTCTAGTTTCTGTTAGAAAAATTATTGGACAAATAAAAATATTGTATCATAAGTTTGAGTTTCTGTGTTGGTTTTAGGGCCCCATTGAAGAAGATAAATAACAGACCCATTGCCCCTCACAACAAGCATGTTGTAACAGACAACTAAACAGGAGTGTTTCCTTCACAGTTGCAGAGCCTCTGCCTGAGAGGCCAGGAATCTGCATATAGATAAGCCAGACCTATCAAACAAATGTGCACAGAAAAAGTTCAGAAGTGGATAAACTACTAGAATTGTCTTGTGTAGTTTACAGCCAGTGAATAATAATAACAATAATACAAATATTGAAAATAATAATAATAAGAAGAAGAAGAAGAAGAGGAGGAGGAGAAGCTGAAAAAGAGCTAGTTACCTGCATCAGAAGAGGACAATCCACATTCTGAGTCATGGAAAAGGGGAAACTGGAGTACACTTTTATTTAAAAAAAAAACAAAAAAAAACTGGAGGGTAAAGAAAGCAGAGAAGACTACAAAAAAGGTGCTAATTGTGGTATGGAAAGACATCTGTATCAGTCTAACTAACAGTATCCAAAGACAGAAGGCTGCAGACACACTAATGCCACATGAAATATACTATATAATGACGAAGTCTGAACCCTGTTGACCAGGGAAGACTAATCTAGTAACTTCCAGTTGTGACACAGCCCAGTAAATCACTTTGTCTGCAGTGACTTGATCTCAAAAAGCATAGTTAAATTCTATTGGATCTAGTGTGCCTACAAAGGATATGAATACAGCAACTAATAATAGCATATGGGGCAGGGCAAGGGACGCAGGGGTCCGTCCTTATGACCTAAAGGGTGTTTTTAAAAGCAAGTTTATGTTAAAAGTTTCCCATAAGCCTCAGTGATAGAGGTCAAGGGGTCATGGTATTGATCTCCAGATTCTTGTTTTTTATGCTCCCATGGGAATGTATTCCATGTAATGTTCCACTCACATTAAAATTAATCATGTTTATCCTACTGCAAGCAGCTTTGGTTAAAACTGTGGTCTTTTTTCTTTGTGCCGAATATACTGGTTCAGATGCATTATTTAATGGCTTTAATAGTTTTGTGTGCCATCCCTTGTACAGTGTTATAACTTGTCCCCCTATCCCATGTCTGGAAGAGGGAATAAACAAAATATATTATAAATACCTTTGGTAACATCCCCTCCCTTGTTGATCTCCGCAAAGAGAGCAGATCTCCCTGCACTATCATCCGCACCTTTGCCACTGGAGCTAGTGTCAGGTGGGGGAGGGGGGCCTGGGGGTGGTGGTGGGGGTGGCGCACCACCTGCTGGCGGTGGTGGAGGGGCAGCCTTGGCTCCACTAGACTGCACAGCTTTAGCATCGCCTCCCTGTCAACAGATTTAAAAAAATATGCATCACACTTTTTATCGCCACTCGATAAGCAGACAACAAACAAGCTGCCATTTTGTTGACCTAGTCAAAGGTGCATTGTTACGTAATCAACACGTAGCAAAAAGCTAAAATTAAATTCTTTTTGAAACTCATAAAAAGCGCCATTGAAACAGCTGAATTGATGCAACAAGTTTATGGGGATAACTGTTTATCTCATGCACACATTTTCAGGTGGTATTCACGATTCAAAAGTGGTGTGGAAATGATTACTAATGCACCTAGACGCCAAATTTATGTTTTTAATGATGAACTCATTGCAAAGTCAGAAAACGGATACAAGATCATTGTTTTACCGTGAGGATGATGGCAGATGAATCTGGTGTTAACAGAGAGACCATTCACAACATTTTAGTGCAAGATTTTAGCAAGAAAGAAAGTTGCTTGCCGGTTTGTACCACATTCGTTGTCTGATAACCAAAAACATCAGCGGGTTGAGTACCTAAGAGACATCATTAAAACAGGAATTTTGGGCTCAAAAACAAGTGTGTGTTCTCAGCCTTCCACCCTATTTCCCAGACTTGCCTCCCTGGGATTATTTTCTATTCCCAAAATTAAAGTTACGATTGAAAAGACGCTTCTTTGGTGATATTGATGACATTCAAAGGGCCATAACGTCAACTTCAAGGGCCATAACAACAGAAGAACTATAGAGGTCGTTCAAGTGTTTGTTAGATCGTGCCACTTGCTATATCAATGCAAAAGGGGCTTACTTTGAATAAAATACAGGTTATATCTTTAACTGTTGATTTTAATTGTTATGGAATTAGTCTCATTACTTAATTGTCAGACCTTGTATGTACCCATTTTTCGATGTAAACAATTCTGTTAAATGTAAAACTAGTTTTAAATGGCTCTGAAACTTGGAATTACTTTAATGGATTCTCAATTTCATTCTTTTCAGGACGAAATTTTTTGTCATTTGAAGCCCTACTCTGGATTCTGCCAGGGGCCGCAATATAGGCAGGCCATACATATGGCCAAATGTCTGAACGCGGTTTCTGGGACCTCTCCACGGCGATCCTCATCTACATGGTGGCACTTTGTGTCATCGGGTGTTTATCGCTTGTGTGATGTCTTGGTGGGGTAGAAAGTCAGTCAGTCAGTCAACAACCGAAAGAAAAGAAGGCTTATTACAGGTTTTTTAAATAGAGTATTACGACGAATATTTGGACCTATCAAAGATAAAAACAGCGTGGAATGGAGAGTGAGAAACAACAACAACATTTATAATCTGTTTAAACCACCACTGATCATTGGCATTATAAAAGCTAATAGGTTGAAATTGCTGGGCCATATTGAGAGAATGTCAGATGACAGAGAGGTAAAACCTGTATACACAACAGAGGTGAATAGTCGCAGACCAAGAAGAAGATAAAGAGATAATGTCCAGAGAGCCATGCAAACACTTGGTGTTACCAACTGGAACCAGAGAGATGAATGGAGGCGGGTGATATCTGCAGCAAATGAACCTCAGGGATTCAGAATGCTGAAGAAGAAGTAAAACTGGGGGGAGGGGGGGGGGGAGGAGGAGGGGGTCACCTTACACATGGAAGTGTTGAAAATAATATCAATGCATAAATACATGGTGCTATCCATATTGTGTTCCCTCAGCCTCTCCTCACTACTGGACTCATGATAAATCCTGGTTTGGTACAAGAACCCTCTCCCATCCACTCTGTACATTGTCCCCCCTACCTGATTCCCTCCGCTGACATTACCTAACCTAATTAGGGTACTAAATATATAAGTAAAGTTGTTCTGTTTGATATATAAATATATGGTTCTAAATATACAGGTGTTTTGAATATACAATAAAATATCAGGGATATTCGGTTTGGTATTTTAAAAATGTGTTTCTTAATTTTGGACCCAAAAGATAGGGGTCATGTTACACATGGGTGCGTCTTATACACAGAAAGAATATGATATAATAGGTCTCCATGGCAAAGTGGTTAAAATGTTCACCTCAAATTCTGAATATTGTGTGTCTGGTTCCAGACTCTGTAGATTAATTAATATGAGTGCATGTTTGTCTGAGATTTCAAGGGGCTGTCAATGGGGTTAAAGAATACTGTGCTGTGTGCAATGGTCTCTGTGAGCAAACAGCCATTCTAAGGAGACTGAGCAACATGGTACAAAACCCAGAGCACTAAAGTTCATAATGTCATGACAACTAATGGTCTCAGCAGCTTAAGAGACTGCAATATACTGGGCATTTATGGAGGAGAAGCCAACACAGAATCACCCAATAGGCATTTAAATAGGAAACAAATGGGTTGAGGAAATTAAGGACATCTAGAAAAACCCTACGACGAACAAATATGAGAGAGGCTAAAGGTGCTCAACTTGATTCTATACAAGATAATGAAACAATTGCATGGGACGGAATGGAATGGAGGAATAAACTGCGAGCCCTACTTGATTTGTATCAGCACATGATGATAATGATGATGACTGAAGTTCATCCTCTTGCCTTTCAACACCTTTAAGAACCTGACAACTTTTGGGGCATGCCCACCACATAATGTCACGGCCCAGAACATACGAAGTCCTCACACTTGACATTCCTCTGGCAGTATCTGCTGTGCGACTCCCCTACCCAAGAAGCGTGCGTCAAAACTCAAGAGACATCTTTTTTCTTCTTCTTCTAAAGACAAGCCTGTGTCAGACTTCTGACAGCGAAGGAATGAAGAGCACTTATGTTGATGAGCACTTCATGTTTCTCTGCAGTTGTCTGTATCCAGTCATAAGAACTGACACAGGAGTGTCTGCGGCATGGAGCAGCGGATGGGCTTTTATAATAACTGGGATAATAATTGGGCTTATGGTTAAGAACTGGGCTTGCAGTTAAGAACTGGGCTTATGGTTAAGAACTGGGCTTGCAGTTAAGAACTGGGCTTATGGTTAAGAACTGGGCTTGCAGTTAAGAACTGGGCTTGTGTTTAAGAACTGGGCTTGTGGTTAAGAACTGGGCTTGTGGTTAAGAACTGGGCTTGTAGTTAAGAACTGGGCTTGTGGTTAAAAACTGGGCTTGTAGTTAAGAACTGGGCTTGTAGTTAAGAACTGGGCTTGTGGTTAAAAACTGGGCTTGTAGTTAAGAACTGGGCTTGTAGTTAAGAACTGGGCTTGTGGTTAAGAACTGGGCTTGTGGTTAAGAACTGGGCTTGTAGTTAAGAACTGGGCTTGTGGTTAAGAACTGGGCTTGTGGTTAAGAACTGGGCTTGTGGTTAAGAACTGGGCTTGTAGTTAAGAATTGGGCTTGTAGTTAAGAACTGGGCTTGTGGTTAAGAACTGGGCTTGTGGTTAAGAACTGGGCTTGTAGTTAAGAACTGGGCTTGTGGTTAAGAACTGGGCTTGTGGTTAAGAACTGGGCTTGTAGTTAAGAATTGGGCTTGTAGTTAAGAACTGGGCTTGTGGTTAAGAACTGGGCTTATGGTTAAGAACTGGGCTTGTAGTTAAGAACTGGGCTTGTGGTTAAGAACTGGGCTTGTAGTTAAGAACTGGGCTTATGGTTAAGAACTGGGCTTGTAGTTAAGAACTGGGCTTGTGGTTAAGAACTGGGCTTGTGGTTAAGAACTGGGCTTGTGGTTAAGAACTGGGCTTGTGGTTAAGAACTGGGCTTGTAGTTAAGAACTGGGCTTGTGGTTAAGAACTGGGCTTGTGGTTAAGAACTGGGCTTGTAGTTAAGAATTCGGCTTGTGGTTAAGAACTAGGCTTGTGGTTAAGAACTGGGCTAATGGTTAAGAACTGGGCTTGTGGTTAAGAACTGGACTTGTGGTTAAGAACTGGGCTTGTAGTTAAGAACTGGGCTTGTGGTTAAGAACTGGGCTTGTAGTTAAGAACTGGGCTTATGGTTAAGAACTGGGCTTGTAGTTAAGAACTGGGCTTGTAGTTAAGAACTGGGCTTGTGGTTAAGAACTGGGCTTGTAGTTAAGAACTGGGCTTGTGGTTAAGAACTGGGCTTGTAGTTAAGAACTGGGCTTGTGGTTAAGAACTGGGATTGTAGTTAAGAACTGGGCTTGCGGTTAAGAGTTGACCTTGTAGTTAAGAACTTGGCTTAAGGTTAAAAATTCTCCAACTTTCCCACTGCAACAATGTACTCCAAAGAACAGCTGCCCAGGCAGTTAGAGTATTGGGTTTTCATGCGGGAGACCAGGATTAAATCCTCAGTAAGGGATGGAGATGTTTTTCTGTCGTGGAAAAAAAAAACTCCTAATCGCTCAGTTTATGGCAAATAAACTGCACAGACCTTAAACCCCTCCTCCCCCCCCCCCCAAGCAGTAAAGACCAGAGCTTATCCCCCCGACAGAATGCAACAGTTTACAGTACCAGCACCTTTTTAAGTAACTTTTCAGTACCGACACTACGTGATGAGTACTGGCACCTCTGTTTAAGACAATATGTGGTGAGTACCAACACCATTGCTTTAAGAAGAAGAAAAAAACAAAAACAAGATCTGATAAAGGCCATTTACAATATGCTCCAGTTTTCCTCCTCTCAAGAATTATCCATGTATCACACTTTTTTTACGCAAGCAAGAAACCAGTTCTCTAGTGAGTTCATTTCTCTGAAGACATCTTTACTACACTTTTTGTCCTGGATATTCTTATCCTTCTTTTAATAAACAACATCTTTGCAGTTTCTCCATACGTTTTCATTAACCTGTTGGCTGTCTATAAATCATAATTCACTTCCATACACCAGGATTACCTTAATAAAACTCGCAGGAACTCTCATTCTCACCTAAGTTGACAAAGACACACTGTTATCTAGTGAAATGCTGCCTTTATTTAGTCTACTCTACATTTAGCTTCTTTAATACTTCTTCCATTTGCTGATTTGTTTTATGGAGAATTAACCGAATGTTTATTAAGCTCATAATACTAAAACAAAAGCCAATAAAAAAAAGTAGGAAGGAAAGAAACTAATGTTATAA